ATTTATCCCTTGAAAATGGCTTCGCTCATGCAAATCCAAATTAAACTTGGACCAGTCTTATAGATTACTACTTTTTGGTGGGCTCGAGGAGAAAGCATATGCCGTTTTCAAATTCACCATGCCCGATTTGCATGGAATTGAGTTAATATTTTAACAGCCGCGATCTTTTGCTAGTTTTGAAAATAAATTATGTCCCTTTTAAAAGGAACTCGTTGAAACATAACATAATTAAAATTTTTTTTTGATAAATATATATATAAATATATTTTATATATTTGTTATTAATATTTTTGAATCAATTTTCATTTATTTTGAAATTAATTTTTTTATAAACAATTTTAAGGTGCACTTCTATATAAATATGATGTATTTAAAAAAAATAATTTTTTAAAGTAATGATCTCCAAACTTAAACTCTAGTTTAAATCTAATTTTATCAGACGACTTTTGCTTAAAAGTAGATATAACCCTTTTGCTTGGCACTTTTATTTACATATTGAATTGAGGACTTGGTTTAAATTTATTAAAGATTGCTTGACAGCTGATTGACTAAAACTTGTTGAGCTTTGACTTGTCCCTGGGCCTGTATCAGGTTGGGTCTCAGTTCCAGATATTCTAGCCCAGGAGTCCACAAGTAACCCTAAATGGCCACAGTCACATAGCAGTTCCCAAAACTGTTGGCCTATCTAGGGCCCAGCTTAGCCCGATGGCTACCTTTAGTTTAGTCTGCTTGACCGGTTAGGGTCTTTCATGTCCCCCAAAGGACTACTGAAATCCGTAGCATTGACATGGATGGTTGCAACTTGCAACATTTACATATAACAGAAATGAACAATGCAGGAAATAATTGTTGTTGATACCAAGGAGTGTTTGGTTGAGTTGGTACCACTAAATCTCTATACTGTCAAATAGTTAATCCTTTAATATATCAAAAAAAAAAATTTTTTTTTGTTGATTTTGAAACTTCTAGCAGCCATAGAAATTGGGTTTGTTCTAATTATTGGGGCTACCATTCTGTGACATATTTGCTTCTTGTCAGCTCATGGATAAATTTAAATCAATTGACCATGGTTGAAAACACATAAAAAAAATGGGAAAAGAAAAGAAGAAGAAATATCATTTGAAGTCCCTAATGGTGGCTATTATGGATGCCTCATCAGCCATCATAAAGGGAATGAACCGAACCATCTTAAATTTGATATTGAGATTACATACTGAATGCTATGGAAATTTCTCTTGTTATACTTTTCAACTTTATAGGGCCCGTCTGCATCCAACATTAATAATACCGTACAAAATGTGCAAAGATTTGAATGGTCATCATGTTGGAAAATTCATAGAAAATACAGTTGGTAGGGTTGATCTTCCCCCCCACAAATGATCTGCACTTCCTAGCAAGTATTTTTAATGTTATAATCCTCTGCATTTTCCTTCTCTAGCTGTGTTGTTGGAGATTGCTCCAAAAGCAATATGTCAAGCAGGAGAGTTTCATTGTTTGCTTGCTTGCTTATTTTTTCTTTCTTTTACATTTGGTTGTTCGATGCTGTGGGTGCTGCTTCTCATACTATTTCACAAGGACAGAATATTTCACAAGGACAGATGATAACACCTTCAGAGACCATAACATCAGAAGGTAACATGTTTGAATTGGGATTCTTTAATCCTGGGGGTTCCACAAATTGCTATGTGGGAATATGGTACAAGCACGTCTCTGAGCAAACCATAGTGTGGGTTGCCAACAGAGATCTTCCCCTAACTGGTTCTTCTCTGTTTCTTACAATCAGTAAGGAGGGATTCCTGGTGATTATTGATGACAGGATTACCTACCGGATAAGTGACAATTCATTGGGCCAGAACGTAAGCGCCACTCTCTTGGATTCAGGGAACCTGGTTCTGAGAAATGACAACTTCGATATACTTTGGGAGAGCTTTGACAACCCTTCTCACACTTTTCTACCAGGAATGAAAGTTGGTTATAGTAGAAAGACGGGGAAAGTTTGGTCATTAAAATCTTGGAAAGATGCACAAGACCCAAGCCTTGGGAGTTTTGAGATCAAAATGGATCCTAAACAACCAAATGAGGTGTTCCTCGTGCGTGGCTCTGAAATCTTGTGGCGAAGTGGGGTTTGGAATGGTAAAAGTGCTTTTGTCTCAATCCCTGAAATGAGATTGAATTATATCTTCAATTATAGCTTGATAGAAGATGAAAATGAGACATATTTTACTTACTCTCTATATGATAGCAGTGTCTTAAGTAGAGCAATTTTAGATGTCTCTGGACAGGTCAAACAAATATCATGGCTAGAGAGCACTGTTTCTTGGAATTTGTTCTGGGCACAACCAAGAGATATAGGTCAGAGATGTGATATCTTCTGTGGTAAATTCAGTTTCTGCAGCAGTTACAAACTGACCTGCCAATGCCTGCATGGTTTTGTCCCCTCAAAGCAACAGTTACAGCAAGATCTGTCTGGTGGTGGATGTGTCAGAAGAACGACACTGGACTGTGAGAATAGCATACCTGTGAATAAATCTCAAGACAGGTTCCTTAGGATGGATGATATGACATATCCAGCTGTAGCTAGTAGGGTTGTAAAGATTCAGGATGCAAAAGACTGCAGATTACTTTGCTTGGATAACTGCAATTGCAGTGCATATGCATACAATGGCAGTTGTTTAATATGGAATGGGGACATTTTGAATCTCAGACAACGTCCAAAAAAGGATCCTGATGGAAGAACAATATACCTTAAACTTGCTGCTTCTGAATTTCAAAGTCCAGAAGGTACTTAATTTTTGTGGTTTTTATTTTTATTTTTTTTTGACAAATTAGTTGATGAGTCCAAAAATGGAGAGAAGAATTTCGACTACTTTATTGTTTTCTATTTACTGTCATTCGCCTTATCTCTTGTCATTTTGATGTAGGAAGCAAGACATTTTTATGGGTAATTGTAACAGTTGTTGCCATCACAGTGCTATTGCTTTCAGCTTCCTGTGTTATGTATCACTGGAGGAAAAGACTCAGAATGCGAGGTATTTCACTCACTCCATTAACTCTTTAAAATGGTGTGCGCATTTATTTCCTGAATATACTTACATTCAAATACACTGCCAATGCCACAGAAACAAGGGGTTTGATTACAAGTGAGGATATATTACTATTTGATGTTGACACGGGCATCACCAATGGTAATGGTGAAATTTTTGGTAGTGAAAATTCAAATTGGGGAACTGGTAGGAGGAAAGATGCTTGGTTGCCATTGTTCAGTTTCGCTAGTGTATCACTAGCTACGGATAACTTCTCCATAGAAAATAAGCTAGGAGAAGGGGGTTTTGGACCTGTCTACAAGGTATCATCTAAAAACATATTAAGAAGTCAAGTATGATCTTTAAATGGTTATGCAATTGAGAGTCTGTATTGCAGGGAAAGCTATTAAATGGACAACAAATAGCAGTAAAGAGACTATCCAGAAGGTCAAGACAAGGACTGGAGGAGTTGAGAAATGAGACAATGCTCATAGCTAAACTCCAGCACAGAAACCTTGTCAGACTCTTGGGTTGCTGCTTAGAGCAAGGCGAGAAGATATTGATCTACGAGTACATGCCTAACAAAAGTTTGGATCTATTTCTTTTTGGTTGGTGCTTTGTCAGTCCTACAATTTCTTATTTAATTGCTATGTTTGGGTCTGTGTCATTCTCTACTTAACTGTGTCTTGCAATTAAAACAGGTGCAACCACTGAAAATTCACTAGGTTGGGCAACACGAGTACGTATCATTGAAGGAATTGCTCAAGGACTTCTGTATCTTCATCAATATTCTAGAATGCGAATTATTCACAGAGATTTGAAGGCTAGCAATGTCCTATTAGATGGCAACATGAATCCTAAAATATCTGATTTTGGTTTGGCAAGAATGTTCGGTGGAGACGAGTCACAAGCAAATACTAATCATATTGTTGGAACCTAGTAAGTAAAATACAAATCAGAAAAATTATCTCAAGATATAACTAGCATAACTATATCTGAGTTGTTTAATCTTCATAAAATCTAATTAGTTTACACTGAATTGATCAAATTTAGTGGCTATATGCCGCCTGAATATGCCCTGGGAGGCCTTTTCTCCATAAAATCTGATGTGTTCAGCTTCGGAGTACTACTATTGGAGATAATAAGTGGCAGAAAGAACACTGGCTTTTATAACAGCAACTCCCTTCACCTTCTTGGACATGTAAGTGAGACATGCTGAATCTTCCGGTTGTCCTTTTCTCTATGGTACAACCGTCCAGCATACATAAAATTTACTGTTTCCTTTTCTTTCTTCCTTTATTCTAGGCATGGGATCTTTGGACAAGTGGTAAGTCTCTGGAACTGATGGATCCGTCTCTACGAGATGTTTCTTCTGCCAATCAACTGTTGAGATACATCAACATTGCTCTCCTTTGCGTTCAAGAATCTGCAACTGAGAGGCCAACCATGTCTGATGTTGTCTCGATGCTGAGTAATGAACTCACCGTTTTACCATCTCCAAAACAACCGGCTTTCTCAAATGTGAGAAGCGTAGGAAATCCAAACGCATGTCTTAGCAGCAGGGGAGAGAATTGCTCTGTAAATGAAGTAACAGCCTCAGTCATGGAACCTCGATAAAGCTGGAAAATTAAAACTTGTATTGTTATGGTAACCTTAACTGAATAGGTCAGTGTAGGTGCATATCAATACACACTCCCTGCCTGATGAAAAGACTCAAATCTTTAAAATTGTCATCTAAAATTGCAGGACTTTATTATGATATAAGATTATATGTATCGTTCTCTTAGCCAGTACCTCATTGGTGCTAGTGAATAGCTTTCCATCTTCTTCCTACATATCTTGACTCGTCACTGCTTATTTCTGGCTGAAATAATTTGACATTCTATGATGGGGCTTTCTACACTTTTGATGAGAAGGGAAAGCTATTCTCCTTCAAAGGTACCAAAAACAAATTTTTTAACAAGCCTAGAAAGCCTCGCTTTTCTCATCTAAGCTAACTGGTATAATGTGATGGGAAGCTACTGTCAGTGTTTGTGGATTTGGCTCTGATATGGTTTCAATTGAAGTTGAGAATTTCAGAAAATATACTACTAGCCATTTTTCTTCTTTTGCAATAACAGCAATTCAAGGAATGCAGAATGGAGTTTATTTCCCAAGATTCTATGGCAAGAATGTCGTCTACTATTCTCTTGGGTCCAGATACACTCTCATGGTACTGAAGAAGTCCTCAACAGCTTTTACAACACAAAAGAACAGTTGTATTCTGGTTGGATTCAACCCAAGTGGTTTTAGATCACTAACAACTAGAGGGCTTTCTCATTGTTGATTGTAATATTTATTTGATTTTCTGATAAGCCATGTTAATTCTGTAGCTTATGCATATTCCCTGATAATTTATTTCACAGCTTAAGCATTATGAGAGTTGATCTTTTTGTAAAATCATCAGAAAGCTTGATTGTTGGTGCCTCGGACATTATCAACTTCTAAATTCCTAATCTATTATTCAAATGAGATTTTTGTGAAATCGTTGAAGACAGGAGTTTTTTTTTTTTTTTTGGGACAAAAATAATAGAGAAAATTTGTCATTTATATATATATAAAATTCCGTTTAGTGGCTCACTCTAATTTTATTTCTTGATAACGGATTCCGTTGACTGACTCTAATCTTCACAAAAGTCTTGGCAGAAATGCATACTTTTCCAAATTAGTGGGTTAGCTACAGTTGAAAATTCTACATATTCTTCTTTATGAGGGTCATGGAGAACAAAGTAAATGAGGAAACGCAGATTTTTTTTTTTTTTTTTTGGCATTTAGAGATCTTATCTAAAAATATAAATATATTATTCTTTCCCCTGAAATACAAATTTGCTGTTTGCTTCAACCATTCCCTTACCCTATGTAAGATGCATTAAAATTTCACTCACTTTGTCATTTACAGTCAATCCTACATTTTTTTTTTTCTTTTGGTAAATAATCCTACATGTTCCTTTGCATGTAATTAATTCTTGCTTTTGTAGACTGGAAAAGATAACCCATGAGATGTTTGTTGAAATCAATGTTCCAGTTGCTTTTAGTGTGCAATTGCTTGTTCTCATTCAATGATAGGCACTTCCAATTCCAACTCCAACTCCAGCAGATACTATTGCCCCAGGTCAGACCATGAGAGACGGAGTAGTAACACTTGTTTCTGCAGGTGGGACTTATGAATTTGGATTCTTCAGCCCAGGTAATTCTAAAAGCCAGTGTTTAGGAATTTGGTACAGGAATATAGCAACCAAGACAGTAGTTTGGGTAGTCAACAGAGAAGCTCCAATTTCTGGTTCATCAGGAGTTCCGAACATGACTAGTCAAGGAACTCTTCTTCTTTCTGATGGCACAAACAGCATTTTTTGGTCATCCAATACATCAAGAACTCCACAGAATCCAATGTCACAGCTCTTGGATTCAGGAAATCTAGTGGTCAAAGATGGTGATGATGCCGCGGCAGGAAACATTTTACGGCAGACTTTTGATCATCCATCTGATGCCTTACTACATGGAATGAAACTTGGAAGAAAGTTCATCACTGGTCAAGATAGGATCCTATCATCTTGGAAGAGTGCCGATAGTCCTGCTCGAGGTGATGCATTGTTTCTGATAGATCTTCGTGGCTTTCCACAAATAGTTGTGATGAAGGGGAATAAAATTTTCTTTCAAGTTGGATCATGGAATGGCCTTTGGTTTACGGGAACTCCTAATATGAAATCAAATGATTTATTCAGTTTTGAATTCATACTGAATGCAAATGAAGTGTTCTTCACCTATGAGATCCCAAGCAGTTCAATTATTTTCAGGGTAGTTGTGAACCAGTCAGGTTCACCTCTGCAACCCTGGGTTTGGACTGATCAAACACAATCTTGGTCTTTTCACTTCAATGTGGTGCTGGATAACTGTGACAACTATGCTTTCCGTGGAGCATATGCTAAATGCAACACCCTTCAAAGTTCAAATTCCCCTAAGCAAATGCTTTGAATGATTTTTACCCAAGTATCCAAGAGATTGGAGTTTATATGATTTTTGGTCAAGGTTGTGTTAGAAGGATTGAATTAAACTGCACTGAAGATGGTTTTCTGAAGCATAGGGGTATGAGGTTGCCAGATACGTCCTACTCTTGGTTTGATACAACCATGAACCTTGAGGAATGTAAGCAAATGTATTCCAAGAATTGTTCTTACACAGCCTATGCAAATTCTGATATCAGAGGAAGGGGAAGTGGCTGCGTACTTTGGTTTGGTGATCTTATCCATTCAAAAGGATTCACCAAGGGTGGGCAAGACTTGTACATAAGAGTGGATGCTTCAGAACTAGGTATCTTCCCTTTTCCTTGTTTGTTTAGTAATTGTCCTTAAAATTAAAGTATACTATAAGCATTTCAAAATGGTATGTGAAATCTTATGCAGTTATGCAAAAATGTCAGGCAAAGATTTGCTAAAATCATTTTGGATGTTTCAGGTTCAAACAAGAAGAAGAAAGTCAGAATGGTTATTGTCATCTGTGTAGTATTGATTGCAATTATTTTAGTTGGATTGATCTTCTGCATATGGAGGAAGAAACTTAGGAACAAAAGTAACTTTTTACATACCTTATCCTTTCAATTCATGTACTAGCATGGGACAGTGTATCAAATTTGGTTTTGCTCTTTTTTGTTGAAGATATCAGTTAACAGCAGTTATGCTTTTTTAATTTGTAACTGGTTTTTTGTTTTCTGCAGTTAGTTCTATAAGTTAGCTGCATTAGGAGTAGTTATTTTTATCCTTTATGAAAAAACTGTAATGTATAAGTTGCTGTGTATGTCAGTTATCTATCTGAAATGAAATAGAGCTCCACATCCGAGAAGCTCATAAATTTCCAGATTAGTGTGTTCTTTAGTTTACTGCAGAAATTAACAATTGGTATCAGAGCATAATCATCTTGAGGGGCCTGTGAGAGCAAAACATATCAGATTCTGGTGAGAGAGAGCAAACACGAGTGCTAGTGAGGGAGAGAAGCTGTGTAAAGAAAAAACACAGCCATGTCTTCAAACAATTCTTCAACACTTTCTAATCCTCCTATGTTCA